GGGCCCCGCCCCGACAGAGCAGGTGCTGAGCAATATGTATCCATACACACGGTTTGTTATGGTTTGCTGCAGGGTGTAAACAGATCTGTATAAATGATGCAGGAATGTATGGCAACACACCCATGTAAAGCGCCTTGGGGCGACTTTATTGTGAAAGGCGCTATATGAAAATAAATGTTATTGAACTGAATCTCTACGTAGCGCTGTGTTCAGAGCTCTCACCTTGCATCCTTCACAGGTGATCACGCCATAGTGGATCCCAGATGATTTGTCCCCACAGATTTTACATGGGATTACTTCAATTTGAGCTGGAGATAAAACGAGAGGGAACAGGAGAAAACACTGATAACGTGGTCTGGAGCAATAGCCCCCCCACTGAGCAATAGCCCCCCCATTGAGCAATAGCTCCCCCTTAAAGATCCCCCCATTGAGCATTTTTTCCCCATGCAGCCTACAGTCTTTCTTATAACTGCTAAAAAAATCCTGTAATTTCTCTGCTTTATTCCTGACAAGAAAACCCCTATAAAATCTGCTTACCACTATTCTTACAGAGAAGTCAAGTTATCTGCAAGTGGAAATTTCAGCAGTACAACACCTTGTAAAGATTGCAGCCAATATATGCTTAGACCTGTTATCGCAGCGGCTGAATTAATGGCTGGCATTAAAATGACTTTGCAATGATGGTAATAACAGGCACCTTCAAGTAAATCACGCGGCGGTCAAACACAATAGTGCACACAGTGCAACTGCAGCAGAATATTATCAGGAAGATAGACCTTTATAAAGTAAGCATTCGAACCTCTGGCCCGGGTGCTGTGAGGCTACAGTACTGCCCACCAACCCACCTGCCTATATTTACAGCCTTCATTAACAATGGGGTTCAGACCAGGACTGGGAATTAAGTTACTGAAAATTAATTGGCTCAAAAAAAAAATAAAAAATCTACATGATTCTGTACACAGCTGTTGCTTTCTTTTCACCCAGTTAGTTACCTAAAAGGCAGCTCCCCCCCCCGACCCCCACCCCACCCCTAACAGTACAGCAGGCCAGCTGCATTAGATAGATCAGGTTTCCTTGGCTCATGTTCTGTTTGAGGCACAAGTGGAAGCTACCTAGAAAACGAGAGCCTTCCGGGCTGCAGTGACGCGTCGGCGGGCCGCGTCGGCCTTTTCTTTTTGTGGCTGTGCCTCGTGACGCAAGGCGTTAGGTAACGTCTCATTTATAGCAACAGGAAAGAAGCGCGCAGCTCGGCGGCTGGACGGACGTTACTCAGCCAGAGAGGCCTGCGGGTCACTTAACGCATCACCTATGGAGATATGAAGGGAAGCACGGTCGGCGTACGCCGAGACAGGTTAATAAGAACAATCCGGAATGTGCCCCGTGGGCTCGGGCTTTGAGGAGACGGTGAAACCTAATGAGCTGCTAAGTGGAAGGAGGGAGAAACCGAAGAACAAATGTCATGGAAAGCGCCCTTTGCACTCTCTCCCTCTCCCATGCCGCCCAGTTCCCTGTCGCCCCCACCCTTTCTGTGTTATATAACTGCCTTCTGGCTACATTCCACCATTCCACAAACACGCTCATTCAAGGGAGGTCACCCTAGCAACGCCGGAATGGGCCCGCCCCCCTCTGCCGCTGCACTTGCTGCTCATTGGCTCCCGTGCGCTTAGCTCCGCCGCTGGCTTGCTGCTTTGAATGTCAATCAGCGGCAGCACGGTCAGGCTATGTGGACGAGCTGTTCTACTGACACACTTTCCCACTGAACGGCAAGGGGGCGGTGGTGGGGGGGGGCTGTGGATGGTGGCACAGTGAGGACAACAATCTGATTCCTGTTTTTTTAAGGTTGTAAGGTAGACCAATCAGAAACGACAGTGAATGTGGCCCTCTTCTTCACTTACGAAAACAGACTTTAACATTCCAAAGCCAGTGAACCCTTGATAATCACATTCAAAAGGTCACCGTAACGCTTACTGACATTAATGAATATATAACTGGTTAAAAAAAAAACTTCCTCAAGATGCAGGCCGTGTGGAGTTGAGGGCACTACCTACACGTCGTGAAAAACAGCGACGCAGTAACTTATACGGACTCCGAAACGTGTAGCATGCGACCGCAGTTTCAGCTGTCTCTGCACGCTGACATAAAACTATTTTTAATTCAGTCCCCAGTCACACAGCAGAAAGCCAGGGGGCTGCAGTACAAATAGGCCTGCAGAGACCAGAATTACATAAGCTGCTTTTCATGTTATATTTCCATAAAACATATTTTATGTTCACACTTTTGAAATGTACGTTTTACATTGTAAAGAGTAGGCAAATGAATGTAAGACACATCAATAACTAAATGGCATAATACAACATAAATAATTGCTGCATACTTATAACAAACATGAATACAATATGCCAATAAATTAATATTAGGAGGGAATCTGGGGGGGGGAGGAATCAATAAAAATCGACTAATAAAAGATTAAGAGGTTATTCTACAACCATTTAATATAGATGGGAATGCAGAAAGGGGTATTCTGTGACCCCCAGACTGCTGTCATAGTGATAAAAACGATTCCGGTAATTGCTCCAGGTCACTGTTCTGTGAGCCGTCAGGAAGTACTGCAGTTAACACAGTCCAGTTTCACACTGTAACACCAAGCATTTCGCTGTATTTATCAACACTCCAAGAATCATGTCCTCGCGTTCTTGGAGGGAAAAGCTCTCCTGCAGATACACATGCAGTGAATGCCTTAGGCAGCACACGGACGAATGTGGATTACACCCCCTTTTCTCTGGTGCTGCTGAAAAAATTAAGGATTTCTATTCTGGTATTTAGCCTTTTATATCCTTTGGACTACACTGCAAGGAGGAGATATTCAAACATTTATCAGAGATATTCAGTTAAACACGTCATTGTTTGCCCGTCTAGCATGACAAGAGACGTATTACAAGGCACTCAGTAAAAGCCCAATAAAAGGTGAGTCATGCAGATTCTTCCATAGCCTATTCCCATGAAAGGTTACAATGCACTTTTCTGTACATTTTGCGCACTGTCGGTCACCCAGAGCATAATTTGCTTCGTTACAGAACGCCAGGCTGAAGTCTTGGTCAATTGCTGAGACTTTGTCCTCTTATCTCCCTTTATTAAGTGACCTGGCTGTGTCCAAAGGTTCTGTTTAGCTTATACATGGCATCTGCACACCATGTCCTCGGTTTAGCCTCCGTTATGAGTGTTTCATGTGCAGCCAGCGCTTTCTGGTCTGGGCTGAAACCCATAACCCCTCAACTGAAACACAGGCCAACAGGGGACCCCCCCACATTCTTCATCTCCCAGTTCATAGGGCCTTTCCACTCTTAAAAAGAGCATTTCTGAATAGATATAATCAGATATATATATACACACACACACACACACACACACACACACATCAATTCTCAAGCCTGCTGCCACAGAGCCACCTGGGTTTGCTGATTTTTGATTCATCTGCTAGCAAACAGGTGTGATTGGCCATCGACTGAATTCATTGTCAGAGATCTCGGTGGAGGAATAATATCCGCTCTCCTGTTTTTTTCCCTGCATACATTGTAAAAATGAGCAAATATATTTATGTCACATAACGAGTGACAGTACAGCTCAACGAACAATTAGGCACATGAATGATTGACTGAACCTAATTAAGGCTCATACTGTTTTTACTATTGTTTGAATACTCAAATGATGTAAGCTGTGTGACATGTAACGCATCATGGTTGCATAAACGGGCTCACGCTTTTATTGCCTGTTATTTGTGATTGGTAATGGATGCTACATGACATTTTTTTGCAGTTCCTTTAAGCCTCATTCACTAAAATTTTGGCTGGAGCAAAAAACCAGCCATCAGAGGAGCCCCCCTGGATCAGGACTGAGAGCAACCGGCAAAGAGCAACGACGCCAACGGATAATAGCAGCAGTTTTTACTGTAAAAGGGAATTTGTTGAATCACTCATGCCTCCTGGTAAATCTAAAAATATCTATCTACTCGTATAATTTACTCCCTGACAACCAACACAGACTGAGGTGCTTAATTTTGTAGCGCCATTCTCTTACATAATTTACTGTGGCCATTTTTAAAATACTATTATTTAATATAGATATACATTTAATAATTAACTTCAATAAGAGATGTGAGAAGGCAATTAGCAGGTGTGGAAAGTAAAAAAAAAAAAGTACAGATATCAGTTTATTTTAACAATAAGAAAAATCATCCATGAAAGGATACTTGTAAAATGGCATCTACATTTTCCTTGGTGGATTCCCGTCTCCCAGTGCTCCCAGCACTGAAACACGCTGCGTCGTCTGCCCTCTGCCCAGAGCCATTCCTCACACACCAAGGGGATGCATCTCAGCTATGGTCTGTGGCCTGACAGCTGTCAGATTGTCAGGCAGTCAGACCCGTGAGCAGCTCCGCATCCAGGCACAAACACGCAAAAGCTTACAAAGGAGGATGCTGAAAGGCTCACTGTTTCTAGCACTCCCCGAAACCAGGAGTCTGTGCTGCACCAAGCCCCACCGTGAGTATGGTGGCCACAGAGCAGGGAATGCACCAGTACCTGAAAATTAAGTGCATTATGACCGGGCGCATGCTATAGTCACCCTGAAGCTGTTTTGTGCTGAACTGCGCCAGCGCTTGGCCAGCATTACCAAGCTCACTGTAACTAATCGCTCCTTTGACACAGTGCTCAGCTTCACCTGACACTCTCCGAGGTATCAGCTGACTCTAAGTCCCTCTGCTAGCTATTCCACAAGGTCTGTACTGATCCCAGCTTGGGAGCACGACTGCGTTCATGTGGGTGCTTCTCAGTCGTTTCTGTTATGACTGACAGCACCCCTACCTCCCCGCGGTGTCGACAGCATCAGGCAGCATCGTGCCCAAAATGCACTGCCACGAGCCTGACACAACCATGGCACAGAGCGTGGGGAACCTGGGCTATTCTAACCACAAAAATAACACACACACACACAAGTGAAGGTAACTTTCCTGGTTTTAGCAAGTAATTCGTGCAAACCAAGCAAAACTCTGCATTCGGAATAAGGCTGTAGAGATTTTAAGTCAAAATGTCACTTAGAGCAAAATTGCCCCTTGAATTGGCCCTAACCTGACAAGGAAATAAAGATGGATCACATCATCATCAATCACTCTGACTGTGGTTTATCAATCTCCGAGATTTGTTGACTGGTTTCCTCTAAATGTTTTTTTTTTTTTTTTTTAATACCAAGAGACTTCTTACACGAAAAGTAATTTATTCAAGTAAACCGAAACATTCTCCCTGACATCATACAACAGCAACAATAACAGCAAAAACCAAAACAAGAGTAACAATGATACTACTACTACTAATAATAATTAATAATAATAATAACGTGGTAAATGGAATCACAGCGCGCTCTGTACTGATATGATGCAGGCATTTCATTTGGATAAATGCAGTTTAAGGTTTTACGTTCATGGCTACACTTTTCTCAAAATTCAAAACAAAACCAGCCGATTCCTTACTCCCCGATTAAGATCAGACTGCCACGACGGCCCGAATAGGGCCCGCCTCCTTAATGTGCCGCCATCCCATCCCATTACATCCCTTCCTTGCTCCCCTTTAAATGCTGTGTAATCCTCAATGACAGAACTAGGTCAATGGAACAGCCAAGCCTCCCTCTCCCTCGCCGCACACGGCCGGCCATGCTGGCGATCAGAAAACAACAACACGCGCATCGCCGCGTTAACGCCGGCTCGCGCTCCACCATATTAACGGCAACAAAAATCAACAATCTCAAAAACTTCACTGTCATATGGAAAACAACATAGAACTCATATTTAAAACTTATAAACGACCACCAATTGCAAAGAAAATAAGTATTATATACAGCTGTATATCAATATAAATGAATCACTCATTACGTGTTTGCTGTAGTTATTATTCTCCGATTTATAAAGAATTATTTGCTTTCACTTATACTGTCACTCGCATTACTACCCTCCCCCGCCTTACATAATTGAGACTAGTTGCACGCTAACAGCGACCGAAATACACCGTCATTTTTTTCCCTTCGATTTCAAGAGCTGAAGCTTATGAAGAAGCAGCTCAACCACGATTCATTTAAAGTGAATGACATGCAATCGTTTTCAAACATTACCTACAACATTTACTGTGTGTATTCCGCGCCGATTAGAAAAACTGCTTCATTCGCGCACTGTTGCTCGGTAAACTTTGACAAATTTTACACCGTCTGCGCCATAGAAGTGGCGTCTCGCAGATAAACGGCTATCTGCCTTAATCCTAGTCAATCAATGTTATTTATGCAGACAGCACCACGATACAAACTTTAATCAATTTTACTCATAGTTTGCGCAACGAGGACGGCAAAAGAATTGTCTTGAACGCGCTTAAGAATTTTCATGGAGGTAATGGATGATAATTTTGACTCACCTCTCATCTTTGTTATATTATCTTCGAGCCATGCAATAACAAACCATTAAAATAAAAGAGGTAAATACAATTACTAAATATAGTTCTTAAAGCTCCGGGTTGGAGCCTTTGAAAAAAATGAAAAGAGAAGCAAATCCTCATATGTTTCAGAAGTGGCGCCTGTCGCTAAGCCTAATAAAATGCCAGTGAGTGTTTACGGACGTTTCGCCGCGTCCTCCGTAGCGCTGGAACTGTCCGCTCGCTTTGCTGCTCTGTCTCTGCCTCCTTCCCTCCCCTCGCTCTAACCTACTTTCGTCGCGTGGACTCTCACATGATCCCGCTTCGCTTGGCCCGCCTCGTGCCCCGCGAAGCGGCGCGCGTCGTTTCCACGCGCTTAAGGAGGAGCGGCGCGCGTGGGAAAGTGTGGCAGTGTGTCATAACGTCGTCGTGGGAAATTGTTGTCTTGTCGAACCCTGCGGCGTTTTCCTGCGTTATGTGTGCTTTATGTGTAAATCGTTAGGGAGCAAAAAAAAAAAAACATTTTGTTCTCCAGAAGTTCGTTTTCTATCGTTGTTATCGTCAAGATGTTCAGTCTGAAATTTTCAAAGAATATAGTTTGTCTTAACGAGTGCATGCTGGTTGAATGCACTTCATAAGTTTACGATGACGAAATGTAAACAGAAATCAATTAAACCAATTTTGTCTTTGATTAATGCATGTCAGTTTATTACACAGCAGAATCTAATTTATTCCATAATTTTAAATTCATCATTCTGCAATTTAAAAGACATTAAACCATAACAACGTGTCTCTTGTGAAAAAGCATTATTACAAAGCCGTTACAAAAAGGCCTGTCCAATTAAGATACAAAGGCAGGGTGTTTAGACTGAATTTGGTTTTCTAAAGTTATTTTGAGCAACATCAGTACTGCATTTCCACCATTATGCTTAATAATTGAGTGATATGGTGAGGTTAATGTTGAAGGGGAGACGTGGCCTATCTGTTAACATCTGCTTGAAAGGCTACTAGTTGATGGAGAGAAAATGTAATAATGTTGTCTAGTGGTTCATTTCCCCCCATGAGATGAGTCAGATCAAGTTCCTGAATAGTTCACTAAAAATAAATTAAATTCCACTTTATCTATTAGAAGAATAATAAGATTTTAGGCACAGATGAGCTTGGTTGCTGTCACTGCAGGAGCAGTTTTGTATAATTCAAACCATCCATAAGAACCATGCATGTCTAGGCAAAGGAGCACTGGAAAATCCTCTCATATATTCAGGTTCATGAGCAGTGTTCCTGATTTAATGTTGCAGCTATTGCTGCTTTAAGATGTTAAGACGTAGTGCAGTTCGTGTGTGCCTATGTGCTAAATGGTTCAGGATATGTAGACTTTGATAAAACGGTGATTTAATCAAAGCATAATGTGATGTAACGTTCCTGCATTTTCAGAAATGAGAAATGCGAAGGATTATTGTAAGTAGGTTACTGGAGCACTGGTGAGCCCCTCCACCCCCCTAGGCATGCCTCCCCCATCGCTGATTGTTTACCATTGGCCCCTCAGTTTCAGTTATTTCTTGGACTGTTATTTTCCAGTCACTCCACCTCTATTGTCCTCCACACTCTCCTACTCTAATCTGCGCTTCAGCTCTTTCTCTGTCTCGCTCATCTGCGCCACATGGCAGTGTGATGTCTGTAGAGGATGCATAGCAACCACCTATGCCACATACACTCGGGTCAATGCTGAAAATAATAATTATCATGAGTAATCAGCATCCTGCACCAGTAGCTTCTGAAATAGGCTTTGGACCCCCGCAACCCTGAATAGGACAAGTGGGTACAAAAAATGGAGGGATGGATGGATGGATAGAATAATCAGCATACCACATTTTTTTTAATGATCTGTAGACAGTCTTTGTAAAGACCCCCGATACTAAACCAACAGCCGCAGTGATACGTGTTAATGTGTTAACTTTCATTTCCCCCCTGTTCCCCAACTTAGACAGCCCTGTTTTTCTTCTCACATCACCCAAATACATTTTCATTTCCTTTTCCTCATTCCATCTGATTTCATCCCCTTCTGGTCCGTTTCCCCCTTCGTTTCCCTCTCGCTCGTTCTCTCTCTCTCCCTTTTCTCCTTCCTCTGCACGGTGTTCAGAGGCTGCATAACTGACCCCCCCCCAACCCCAAACCTTACATAACCTCCGAGTTACAGAATTAGAGGGAGGGGGGAGAATAAGCTGTGTGATGCAAGGAGGGGCTTCATAACACAGAGAGCCTGAATAGCAGGGACAGAAGGGAGAGGAGAGAGACAGAAGGAGATAGTGGAATTTGAAATGTCAGACGCGAGCAGGCGGGCGAGGGTGAGAGATCAGAGTTGGGGGATTGACAATGTGGATAAAGCAGTGTGCAGTAACTGGTGTACCCCCCCAGCCCCCATCCCCACCCCCCATCTATTCTACAGTGGATGATGCCCAGTATGCTGGGGGATTATTTTGGGATCCCACTCTCGGTACCATAATCCCCTCCCCACTCGTCTCGCTCATCCTGCTAATCCCTCTCTCTTCTCCTCTTTCGAATGCCTGCTAATCCCTTGCTTCTCTGCGGGGCTGTAATCTGCTTCGACCCCGCCCACGCCCCTCCCCCAAGCACAAATCAATAGGTCAGTGTGTTGCCGCTCCGCTCCTCTCGCGCGCCCTTCCTAACCAGTTGCCTGTCTTTCCCATGCCAAATGCTGCCTAATGCTATTTTCTTACTATTTAGATCGACTCTCTGGAAGTCCAAAATTTGGCGATGTTGTACAGATAGACTCTCAACTACAATTTTCATGTGTCACTTATATGTCAAGGGACAAGTCTCTCTTTTGACAATACTAACTTGTGCCCAATAAGTGGTTGTGTGTTTGCCTGTTTTGTTTGTCTATTGTCAGACATTTAGAAAAATATTTAATTATATGCGTTAAATACCCTAAATAATGGCAAAATTGCTGTATCTAATGGTATTTTAAAATAATTTGTTCAGGCTAATTGAATCAACAAATCCTCTTTTATATTTGTCTTTATTGTGTCATAATTGCTTTTTCACGTGATAAATACAAGAGTAGCAAAAACCCAAGCAAGATGACAATTTCAATGTAAAAAACCAATTATAGGAAAATCGAAGGCAAACAGTTGGGCTCTGGGTCTGACTTACAGACATATCAACAACGGTTCATTCATTCAGATGAAGTCTGCAATTAATTATTGCACATGCAAAATTCAAAACTGAATATCAATATTGTAATTATCACCACTAAGCTTTGCCCTTCTTTGCTTCTCATTGTTCACCAAATTGTGAAACATTTAGAATGACATGAGAATATTTGGGACGTAATTAAACCATTAAAACTGACAATTGCGTCTGTGTCCTCCTACGAGCTTCCTGCAGATCAGTCTCCCTGACTGGAAATTAGTCATTTTGGATAACTCATACCGACATATACAGTCGCCATTTTGCACAGCTCAAATCTGCCAGCCGTAAACAAGCCAATTAAATTGCATTAATCTGTGGCCTCTCCCTTATTTACTTGTTTAGAAATATTTGTGATTGCTGAGTGTTAACGTTAAACACTTATTTGCGTAATGTGAGATTCGTCACAGATGCAACGGAGGTTCACGCTCAGCTGCTGACGATAACGTGAGACGATTGCATCTTTCATCTGCCGCTCTTCTTTTCTCATGGCTAATGTTTCCCAGCGGTTCTTCTTCTCTGGCTAACAGCCATGCTGTGCTTATGTTAGCCTGCTAGCTCAACAAGTCATCCTTCACAGATCTGCCATTAATCACAGTGCAAAGCCAATGGCGCAATGAAGTTGGACATTAAACGCTATTATTTTATTATGGCTGATGATAATCTTTTCCCATAATCCCGTACATTTCTGTTGCATTCACCTAATCTCCCTGTGAACAGAAAGAGCTTATGTAGTCACGCATTCCCGCTGAAATAGTGGATGCAAACTCGTCTCCTCCTTGAACATGTGCTGGGCAATGGCTTCTTCACGCTGCTGCGTGCGTAATGTTCTGGGAACAAGACTCGTCAAATGAAGTGTTTAACAGGCGGCTGTGATGACGTTGGGTTGTTTTGGAATCCAAGATGACCACTGCATGACGGCAACCTGGGTGTAGGTCAAGAAGGAGGCTGCTCTGTCCAGCTGTGGAGATGGAGGTTTGGGGAACGGATGCTTTTCAAAGCCCTGAGCACCAGGAGAGGAGAGCTGATAGGGAGTTAGCACTGTAGATCGATGTGTCTAATGGAGCTAATGAGGCTCATTGTGCATGGTAGATACTTCTCTGTCTAGAGACCACATTTCCCTCGTTACCATAGATGTTTTATAGCTGAAGGTCCGTTCCAGCCACGTTCCAATTTAGATGTTCCCTCTGCGGTACATCTGTGCTGGAACTGGCTGGTCATCCAGCTCCCTGCTTTGTGAGGAATTCATCATTATACAAAAGGAGACCTACCTGACGCTGGTGTACGCGTTTGACCAATCGGTGCCTTCCACCACGTGACTTGCCATTCGCCGACACACCGACTAGGCCGTGGACAAGATGTGTAATCACATTTGAAGCTGCATGTTATTCAATTGGAAACAGCATGCACATTATTTTTTTTTTACGGGGTCTTTCAGTCTGTTCGACGGTTCATCGCTCTGGCCCCATCACCAAGCCACGGGCGAGCGGGAAGGAGGAGCGTCACACACGCTGTCATGGCGACGCGGGTCTGTTTATCGCCGGTGAATCAGCGTGCCGTGCCATGTGACACTGGCCTACTTACCGGACAAACAAGCTGGAACTCCGGAGGACAGATGCGCTGGCTGCCGCGCATGCGAGGCTGCGCGAGAAGCAGAGCCGCATGCAGCTGCAGGTCCCGAAAGGCAGGACTGAAATACGGGCAGCGTGGGATTAAAAGGGGAATGAGGGAGGGGTGATGGAAAGAGGGATTAAGCAACAAACACAAGAGGAAAAACAGGCAGACATTTTTCATACTCCAGTGCACATCTTCCCCCTCTTCATCTCTTCTCTACCTTCACACATCTTTATATCCTCTGGCCTGGTGGCCTCGTTGTACCCCCCCCCACCGCCACTACGTAAATTCTACCTCTGATTTACACCTGTTACCGTTTTATTTCATGATCACAAACTGTTGACTGCTATCCCACCCTTCTTTTGCTAAATATTGTCAAGGTCATTAAAAGCGTACGAATCAAGGGAAATTGTACATTTTAGTTTTATTGTGTCACCTCTAGAGCTAAAGTCATATTTCCATTTCGGCACCCGTTTGTTCTGACATGAAAGACTCAACAAATGAAATTCAGAGGTTGCCTCCGTCTTCCCCAACGTTGCTGA